CTGCCCCAGTAAAGATGTCATCTAAATCTAACCCAAATCAGGAGCCACTGTCTTCCCTAAGCATTTGGTTTCGCTGATGAAACCAATGACACTTAGTATCTGAGTCACTGCCACCTGAGGTTTAGATTAGAAGAGAAAGAAAGGCCTATCTTCTAGGGAGGGAAGAAATCCAACCCAATATCAGCACTTGTCTCCTGTTCCCTCCTTACACACTCTATCTGTAACTCCAGGAGTGAGCAAAACAAATAGTAGCGTATAAGCTGAAATCAGACTTGGGAACTAGCAGTTTCAATGGTCTGGGGCAAACAGATAACTTTATGTGGCCCCCTTTCCCCTACATTTAAAGAATATTATGAAGACTAATTGTACAGAGCATTCAGCAGGCCCTTTCTACTTCTACATGTTTTATACTATATAAGGAAAAATTGCATTCAGCCTGTATCCTTGCTTTAGTAGAACAGCATTTTCCACTCTCATACATAAAGACAGATTTAAGGATGACATTTGTCCTTAGACATAATTTCAGGATATGAAAAGATCTGTGATTGTAAATCTATAATTAACTTAAGTATAGAAATTTTAATGGCCTCTGGAGGAAAACAAACAAAAGAAAACAAACAAAAAAAGCAAGGCTGTTCCTTCCATTAAACATTTCAACTATTTTCCAGCCAAATGGAAAAGTTTGGCAATAAGAGGCCTGGTAAGGCAAACAAAGCTGCACTGTAGCTGAGGAATATTTTTAGAGCTTTGATTATTTTTATTAGGTTTACGTGATGGTATAATAATAAGAAATAGTTTCATGGTGAATGCTGTAGCTGCATTCATTTAAAGAAATGAAACTACAATTTTATCAATTTAAATAAACATGAATACCAACTCTATAAATTATATGCAATTTAAAAATAAACGATACTCCCTGTCCACTAAAACCAAGTAGTCTAAATGCAGGCAACATGAGCATGAACAAAACAGGAATTTATATATCACCAAAACAGGGGAGAGGAAAATCAGCTGATTTGCATTGTCAACTAACACAAAGCTTGCTTCTAGTGCCTACTCAATGGTATTTGGGGGGGGGGGAGGCGGGAGGATCCTTTTAAGGACCACTCAGGAATTCCTTGAAGGAACAATAATTTCTTGATGCTTCAATGAAAACAAATGATTCATTCATTGCAGGGTACTCAGTGCTTACCTTTTTTTGGGGGGGCACTGGCCAGTATCTGAGAGCTTATCATCTGCCATACACTGTGCTAAGTATAGCCATGGAGCCTGCCCTCAGAGAATTTAGTTGGGGAGATAAGACATTGTACAATCATAACTATGACACTTTCTTATGCAGTAGTTCTCAAACAGGGGCAATTCAGTCCTCCAGGAGACTTTTGGCAATGTGTGAAAATATTTTTGGTTGTCACAATTGCAGAAGTACTACCAGCATCTAATGGGTAGAGGCCAGGAATACTGCTAAACATCCTACAATGCACAGGACTACCCCACAACAAAGAACTGTCTGGCCCAAAATGTCAACTGTGCCGGGCCTGCCCATGGCTCACTTGGGAGAGTGTGGTGCTGATAACACCAAGGCCACGGGTTCAGATCCCATGTAGGGATGGCCGGTTAGCTCAATGGGTGAGCATGGTGCTGACAACACCAAGTCAAGGGTTAAGATCCCCTTACCAGTCATCTTTAAAAAAAAAAAAAGTCCACTATGCCAAGGTTGAGAAATCCTGTTCTAATATAATAAGGAGCATAAGGGAAGTGCAAAAAGTTCAAATAAAATGCTAGTATAGTAGTTCAGGATTTTTCTAAATTAGAAAATTAAATTAGAAAAATTTGTTCCATGCAATGAAAATTAATTAAGATAAGGGTCTAATTGTGGAGAATTTTCTAAGTTAAACAAAGGAGTTTATTAGACTTGATGATTTGGGAATATGAAGCCAGTGAAGGGTAACAAGGTTTAAATGATTCTTTTTAAAGAACTTCTGAAAGATTAGTCTGGTATGGTAGAGAAGCTGAAGTATAGATATGAAAACCAGGTTCGTAGAAAATAAACTGATGACATTTCAAAAAAAATTACCACTAGGACTGGGTAAGATATGCCTTGAGGATGTTCAGATTTCAAATCTCAGCATTAAGTTTCAAACCAGAGGATTCAACTTCCAATGACACTTTGCATTTGCTTGTTTAAGTAAAATGAATCTTTGGCTCACAATGCTTCACAGAAAACCAAAAGGAGGAAGTCACTTTTTCAAGATTTAGTACCTGTTTAAAAAAATAATTGCAACTAAACAAATATATGTATAACCAAGAAAATGGGTGAGAAAAAAATATCACCCCTCAGGTTGGAAACAAAACATTTTATAAACTCAATAGCTAACCTCAAAGCAACAATACACTCACTGAATCTTTACAATGCCACCACTTTTGGTGTGCTTGACAAGTTGTACTTTACAAAGTACTTTCACTGCTACCATTTTATTTAAACCCCTCTGAGACATCCATTATGTCCACTTGATTAATGTAATATTTCTGGGGAAGGCAGGAAACTCCTATAGAAATTTCTTTATGCTAGACCACAGCAACCCAACTAGCAAATTGCCAAGCACAGAATAAAAACCAAATGCATTCAAACAAGGCATCAAAAGCCTTTCACAACCTGGCAGACATCTATCTACCTTTTTTTCTGGTCTTATCTTCTGCCAACCCCCAGGCTCCAGTATTTTACTGAACTGGAGGCCCTCTCCTGTCTCCACATCTTTGCTCTTGCTGTTTCCTCTAGCTGGGACACCTTATTAGACATCCTTGCCTAGATGTGCTACAAACACCTCAAATTAAACACATCCAAAATTCATTTTCATTTTCTGTGTCACCTCCCTAATTTACCTCTCATATTTTTTATCTGAATGGTACCATCCAGTTCTCTAAGCCAGAAAACCAAGCAATCATTCTACACTACTCCTACTTCTTCATTCCCATAAATAATCAGCCTCCAATTCTATGGATTCCATCTTCTGAATACTGCTCAAATCCAATCCCTCCTCTCCATTCTCACTTCCACGGTCCTAGTTCCAGCCAAGACTATGGCAACAGCTTCCAACCACTGGTCTACTTCCCCACAGTGTTTGATCCATTCCCACTCCACAGAGTGAACTTTTTATAAATCAATCTGATCATATCATTTCCTACATTAAACCGTTCAAAGCATTCCCATAGCTTTCAGGGTAAAATCCTAAGTCTTTAGCATGGATTACAAGGTCCTCCACATTTGACCCCACCACTTCTCACTTCCTCCACTTCCCCAAGAATTACTGGAATTCCAATCACACTGAACTAGCCACGGTCTTTCACATGTCCAGGTCTCCATGTCCTTGCACCTGTAGTCCTCTTTGCCTGGAAATCCCTTTTCCAGATTCACCATATGGCTAAGTAAATCTTGCAAGATTTAGCCTCCCATTCCGCCCTGGGAGCCTGGAAACCTGGCTCAGATATTTCTCCTCTATGCTCTCATAGCCCAGTGCTCACACACTGCACTAAGACACGGTAAGCCATCCCTGATTTACTAGTCTGCTCCTTCCCCACTGTAAAGTCCATGAGAACAACTGTATTCTTGGCCACAAGGGCTAAGTACCTCACTTAACATGTATTTCACACATATTAAGGTCTCAGGAAACATTTGGTAAATGATGAATGTGCTGGGCTGCCCCCCGATTTTCATCGGAACAGAGATCCCTACAAAGAGCTTCGACTGATTCAGTTCTGATACTAAACCCAGTCTAAAATGTTCTCATCCCCTCTTCATCGAATTTATTCCTATTTGTCCTTCAAAATTCATCTTAAACTCTGCTTCTTCAGAAGGGATTTCCTGTTACGTATTTCCATAGCATCCTGTTCTTTCCTAAAACTCATCACATTTATGATTACTTCTTAAACGTTCCTGCAAACACTGTTAGCTCCATGAGGGCATGGTCTAGCTTGTTTTGTTTCAAAACTGAATTCCCTGGATCTGGCAGAATGCTGGCACAGAATAAACCCAATTTGTTACACTGAATTTGATCCTGTGAGGTGAGCAGAGGTCTCCACTTAAAAGAGGAGCAAAACGAAGCTCAAAGAAGTTAAAAAAGGCATCTATGTCTACAGCTATTTAGCAGTAAGGTCAGACCAAATCTGAGCCATCTGATTTCAGGTCCAGAATTACGCAACACGTCCAACAAAGTTAGCTTGGTTTTTCAGAATGAGAGCAGCAGGCTAGGAGGAAGGGGAGGCTATCTAAATGCAAATACAGGACTTGCCCGCCTCTTTTGAAAATTCCCCATACTTAATTTTTTTTAAAAAAAGTTCCTCGTAGCTGGCAGCTTTTAACCTACAACTACCCGCCAGACAAGAATGCAAATACAGGACTTGCCCGCCTCTTTTGAAAATTCCCCATACTTAATTTTTTTTTAAAAAAAGTTCCTCGTAGCTGGCAGCTTTTAACCTACAACTACCCGCCAGACAACACCGACCGGAAGACCACAAGTTAGAGGTTCCAAGGAACGTGGGAAGGATCTGGGGCTGGTAATCTAAGGAACTGGGGTCGTGATTCCGATTATTTTCTTCACCCGATATATGATCTCAGATCAGCTTCTTCTGTTCTCCGGGGATCAATTTACCCATCCGTGCAACGGGAGCAAAACGGCGGATAGGGAAGACTCCAAGGTATCGGAGGTTCTTTTCAGTCAGGGTACTTTAGGAATCAGGCCTCCGTCAAAGCTGATGGGCAACGCTGCGAAATCGAGCAGAGGGGGCTCCCCGGGACAGTCGGGCTCAGTTGGTCACCCCGGCCCCACCTAAAGAGACCGCGCCCAGGAGTCCAGATCCGCCTGAGGGCCTCAGCCCCGGCCCCCTCAGCAAGGTTTACCACACGAGCGTAGGCCAGGACCACTAACAACGCCAGGGGGCGGTGGGCCCCAAACGAGACCCCAGTCCCTTCCCAGCCGCGCACCCTCACCTCAGTTGTGCCTCACCTCGGGACTGCGATCAGCCGCTCTCCACTTCCGGCAAGAACCGCCCAGCAATCTTCGCGCGACCCACTTCCGGGCCCTCACTGGGCGCGGCACCCCCACCGGAAATGATCCGCCGGCTGAAGCGACCCCGCCCCTCGTTTCATCACGCCTCAGAGACAGAATCCCCGCCCGCCCAGAAGGCACTCGGGAGAGAGTTCCGCCCCCAAGGCGGGGACGACCTGCTCAAGGCTAGGCCACGCCCCTCAGTCTATGGTACAGAGTCGGAACCGCCCCCTAAGGACCCAGCCAATGAAGGGCCGAAATCACTGGCTAAGCTCCACCTCCGGAGAGGGAGGACAGGTGAGTGGCTAATTCTCCTATCAGTTGGGTCTCAACTGCGAAGACCGGTCCCTTTTCACTGCAGCCGGGAAGGGGTCGTGGAAGGACTAGGGGGCAGGATCCTCTGAGGGTCGGAATCCTGGGCGGCCGTCAGCTCTCCGTGGGGATCGAGGCCAAGCTCCATCTGTCTCAGGGCGTGCATACCTCGGTTTCCCTCTCTGTGACGTGGGAAGACAATTGATCTGGACAGTGTTCTGGGGTGGCTCCCAGCCCTGGATGTCTGGGCGTGCCGGCCCTAGCCCGGCTCGCTGTACCCGTGCTGGGAAAGTGGAGAAAAACCCTCTACTCTCGCCCCACTTCCTGTTTGGCGCGCTCTATGACCATAGATGGTCAGGTCTGGGGCCGCGCGAAGCCTCCGCCCCGCGGTTTTAGAGTCCTTCCTCCCGGTGCGCAGGGTGTGGTCCCTGAGAATAAAATGAGCGGAATTAAGGAGATTCTGACCCACTCCGCTAAAATCCCGCTTCTGAGGCACCCTCACCCCGGGCTGGGCGTGCTCAGCCGGCTGCTTCTCAGTCCAGGGGAAGTTCCGCACTGTGGCTCCAACCCGGAGGGGACTTCGCTTTCCATGCTCCTTGGGCCAGGGATCAGGTCTTTGTTCCTTTCTCACACTTTCCAACCGGCCATTATCCTCCCACAAAGATTTATTTCTAGATAAAAATCGGCCAGTGCTACAGTTCCCACCCCTTTAGCTGAACGACTGTGACAGCTCCCTGTTTCAAGCTGAATGCAGGGATTATATGTCAGAGTTAATCATTCAACAAATATAGTGCTTTATAAATAACAGCCACAATTTACTGCGTGATGACTACGTGCCAGGCCTGTGCTGAGTGCTTTGAGCGCATTTTCATGTAATCCTAAAAGCAGCTCTCTGTGGTAGGTACCATTATGTCCTCCGGTATTCAAATGAGGAAGCTGAATAACCTGCTGAGGTCACAAAGTAACTGTTGGAACTTTGAAGGGAACACATCTGTTTGACTCTAAATCCCATGAGTTTAATTAACTCCTATGACAGACCACACTGGAATCATTTAAGGCCGTTTCTAGGCAGTGAATGCCTCTGGATCTGGAAAAACGCTGGGTTCCAGTCCTGGCTTAGGCCTTTTACTAGGGTCAGACTTATGGTTAGGTTATTTTGGGCAGGTTACTGGGCCTCTTCCCAATTTTATGACTCACAGTATTTGTAAAAGAAAAATGACAACATGACATAATACAGTACCAAAAAATTGTAATATATTTTAAATATTTACATTTAACAAAAAACAATCAAAAAACAAACAAACCATGGACTCTGGGGCTGGATGGTTAGCTCACTTGGGAGAGTGTGGTGCTGGTAATACCAAGGTCATGGGTTCAGATCCCAGTACCAGCGAGCCACCAAAACAAACAAACAAACAAACAAAAAACCCAAAAACAATCCACTCCCGCATATACACACAAACTCTAAGTTTATTTGTACATAACATCAAACAATTAAGTTTAAGTGCTTCATGCCTGTGATGCCTGGGGCAAATAGTCCACCTGGCCCTCCTGATCTTTGGCTCTCCATTTAGCTCTTCTATATACATATATGTGTGTGTATATATATATTTGGGGAGGGAGGTGGCTAGCCTGTATGGGGATCCAAACCCTTTGCTCTTCTAAATCTCTTTCTGGATCAGGGACAGGAAATTCATAGACCATACATGCATCCTAGAGGAAGAGGAGAGAGAGGAGGAAACAGGAAGGAGAAGGAAGAGAGGAAGAAAGTTTCCTCATCTATAAAATGGGGATAATTCATGGGGTTGTCATGAGAAACAGAAGCAATAACCTTTGTGAAATCACTTTTAGAATGATTCTTTGTAAAGACTGCATACGTGAGTAAGTCACAACCTCTGTTCTTAAGGAACATCTAGTCTTTTAAGGAGACTAGACATATGTACCTGTAACTCCAGTGGGAGATAGTTTAAGAACAGCATCTGTCACTTTTATTTATTTGTTCGTTTATTTATTTATACACTGAAAGAAATTTATTGAGCTCTTCCTATATGCCAGGCAATATGCTATTTTGAACTAGGCACAACTAGGGATACAGCAGGGGACAACTCTGACCCTGTCACTTCCTGAAGGAGCTTATAGTCTATATTAGAAACAGATATTGGGGCCGGCCCGGTGGCTCACTGCTACAGTGCGCTGCTTGGGAGTGTGGCGGTGCTCCCGCCGAGGGTTCGGATCTCACGTACAGAATGTCCGCTCACTGGCTGAGCGAGGTGCGGGCGCAACACCGAGGGTTGTGATCCCGTTGCCAGTCACTAAAAAGGAAAAAAAAAAAAAAGAAACAGATATTACCATCTGGGGTTGTCATCAGAAGATATGCCGAGTTCTGGCTTCTAGCTTTTTCCTCCTCATGATCTTGCCCAGTGCCCAGTACGCAGCACCTCCTCCATGGTGGGCTCTCATCCAGCACATGTTCAGAGAGTGCCTTGGATTCAGAATAGTCATTTTTCTAGGCTGAGATGGATGGGTAGAACATTGCAGAGCAAACATGAATAAACAGTAGTGGACATGAGAATCTGTGCCAGGCCGAGGTGAGAGGTTCCTGTAGGAGAAGAACAGGAAATAAGACTGAAAAAAAGACATTAAGCAAACTGTGCCAGAAAGAGAAGCAAAACCTTAATGTAAAAGCAAGGAGGAGCTAGTTGGATTGTATTTTAGAAATAGAACTCTAGCTACAGTGAGGAACATGGGCTCGAGTGGGCAAAAAAAGATGCAGGGAGACCTGTTCAAAGATAGGTACAAAGATCTAGTGAGGATCTGAATCAGTGCTGTGGTACGGGGTGCAGCAGAGGGGATAATGCAGAAGACATCATTCTGGGCTGGCCCGTGGCTCACTCGGGAGAGTGCGGTGCTGATAACACCAAGGCCCCGGGTTCGGATCCCACATAGGGATGGCCGGTTCGCTCACTGGGTGAGCGTGGTGCTGACAACACCAAGTCAAGGGTTAAGATCCTCTTACCGGTCATCTTTAAAAAAAAAAAAAAAAAAAAGACATCATTCTTATAAAGGGGATCGTGATTGCCTTGGGTTGAATGTCCCTCCAAAACTTAATACCCACTGTAACTACTGAGGATGGGAAATCCTATTATGGTAACTGTAAGGTAGGGCCTTGAAGACATGGTTAAGTTGATGGTGTAATGGTGGTTGTGGGCATGGTTCTGAGGGCTTTAAAGGAGAGCACATGAGGAGCTCTCTCTCTGCTCTGCCATTTTCTGCCATGTGAGACCTCTGCATTACTGTAAAGCCACCACCAAAGAAGACCCTCATAGTGTCCCCTGGACTTTGGACTTCCCAGCCTCTGAAACTGTAAGTAATAAATTTCACTTTCTTATAAATCAGTCAGTTCCAAGTATTTTGTTATAAGCAACAGAAATGGACTAATACAGAAAATTGGTCCCAGAGAAGTGGGGTGTTGCTTATAACAAATACTTGAAAATGTGGAAGGGGTTTTAGAACTGGGTGTTGAGGAGAGGTTGGAAGAATTTGAAGAAGCAAGCTAGAAAAAGCCTAGCTGATGGTGAAAGTTTTTAGAAGACAAGAAAACCAGGGAAAGTTTGGAATATCTTAGATACTTGTTAAGAAGTGGCAACCAGAATGCTGATAGAAATATGGACAGTAAAGGCCATTCTGAAAAGATCTCAGATGAAAATGAGAAGGGACTTATTGGAAACTGGGGCAAATCACCCTTGCTATGAGCTGGCAAGGAACTTGGCTGCATTCTCTTCATGCTCCAAAATTTTATGGAATGTGGAACTTCAAGATGTTGACCCAGGGTATTTGGAGAAAGAAATTTCTAAGCAGCAAAGCATTAACAAAGCTGCATAGTTACTGGTAACAGCCTACACTGAGTTATGGTAGCAAAGGCATGATGTAAAGCCAGAATTTAAAAAGGAAGCAGAGCATAAAGATTTGGAAAACTTGTGGCCTTCACTGGTAACAGCCTACACTGAGTTATGGTAGCAAAGGCGTGATGTAAAGCCAGAATTTAAAAAGGAAGCAGAGCATAAAGATTTGGAAAACTTGTGGCCTTGCCATGTGGTACAGAAGCAGAGAGCATTTTCAGGAGAAAAATGCAATGGTACTAAGAAGATGAGTATGAAAGAAAGGGATTATCAAGAGAAGGGAAGAAAGGCCCTGAAGGCATTGCAGAAGCCTCTGGGGCCAACCCTTCCATTACAGGCCGAGAGGCCTAGGGAGACAGAATTGTCTTGGGGAACAGGCCCAAGGCTTGCTGTCCAGGGCCTCCTTGGGATGCTGCTTCCCACATCAGCACCCCAGCTGCTTCGGCTGCTCCAGCCATGGATATATTGGCCCCAGGTGTGGCTGGACCCGCAGCTTTGGAAAATACAAGCTGGAAGCCTTGGCGGCACCCATGTAGTGTTAGGTCTGCAGGCTCACAGAATGCTAGAGCAGTGGAGGCTTGGGAGCCTCCAACCCAATTTCAAAGTATGTGTGGAAAAGCCTGGGAACCCTGGAAGAGATCTGTCATAGGGGTGGAGTCATCACATAGATCCTTTGCTAGGGCAATGCTGAGCAGAAACATGGGGTTGGAGCTACAGCAGAGAAACCTCACCAGTGCCATGCCTAGTAGAGTTGTGAGAACAGGACAGCCATGAAGACCCCAGAATTATAGAGTTGCCAGTGTACAACAC